TGTCCTAGAAAATTTTAGACCTATAACAATTGTTAGTGTATTTTCAAAAATCATAGAAATGATAATAAAAAATCGTATCCTCTCTTTTATTGAAAGTTGTGTTAATACAGATGCATATCAATATGGGTTCCAAAAGAAGAGCAATACTCAGTGCTACTACTGATGTTATCAATTATATTTCTAGCAAAATGGACAAAAAAGAAATAGTAATATCAGTATTTGTGGATTTGAGAAAGGCATTTGATGTTGTTGACCATAAAACTCTTTTGAATAAACTTACCAATATGGGATTAAGAGGGAAAATGGTATTATTTCTTGAAAATTATCTGACTGACAGAAGTCAATATGTTAGTATTGGTAAATTCAATAGTCCAATAAAAAAGATCAATTGTGGGGTGCCCCAAGGCTCTGTGCTGGGACCCTTATTGTACTCTCTACACGTACTAAGCTTAAAACTTGCTGACCTCGGCAGTCGGTATTTTACATTTGCGGATGACACAATACTGATTTACAGTGGTATAGATCCTAATGATCTAGAAACTTCCCTCAACAATGACCTTCAAAAATATAATAAATGGTTGCTGCACAATAAACTTAAAATCAATACTTCGAAAACAGTTTATATGATATTCAAACAGAAAAACACTGAATGCAAAGAAATGCAGTTAAAGGTTGGTGATAACTTGATAAGTAGAGTAGAAAGTACTAAGTACTTAGGTCTAATGATCGACGAAAAACTAAATTGGCATAAACATACTGAATATATACAGTCAAAAATGATTCCAATGATAGGTGCACTGTATAGATGTAGAGATTATCTTGATGAACGTAACTACCACTTAATCTACAACTCATTCTTCTTGGCACACTTCAGATATCTTATAACCATCTGGGGTACATGTGGTAGAACTAATTTCAAAATGATGCAAACCCTTCAAAATAAGATTGTTAAAATACTATTCAATATTCATAATAGAACACCTACAGAAGAAGTTTACATTCAAACCAAAATTGCCCAAATCAATAAAATATTGGTTCTGGAACAATGCAAATATATCTACAAAATCACGAACAACCAACAAAAATGCAATGGTCATCTTGATCATATCTACCGAATTCACTCTCATGACACACGAAACAGGATTAACATTCACTTGGGCAATGCTAGAACTGAAATTGGACTGAACAATCCAATGAATAGAAGTATAGAGTCGTACAACGCAATACCTATGACAATAAAAAATATAGACATTTTTAACTTATTTCACAAAGAACTGAAACGGCACTTGGAAATGTAATATAATATTGTAATTTAGATATAGGCCTAGGGAAGGATACGCAACATCACTCAGAGAATCTCTACAAAGGACCACGGCTGACATAAGGGACAGCCACAGTCTTGAGAGGTCAGTAGACCAAGTAAGCAAGGCAATAGTTGCCGCCTACGAAGGTAACTGCCCGGAAAAAACAAGACAACAAAGCAATAAAACAATCTGGTGGAACAAGCATCTCGAAACCCTACGAGGGGAGGTGCGAAGGCTATTCAACAAAGCAAAACTCGACCAGAATTGGACCACATATAAGGTTAAACTCACGCAGTACAACAAAGAGATTAGGAAATCGAAAAGGCAATCGTGGAAAAAGTTCTGTGAGGAGGTCACAGAAACCCCCACATGTTCAAGGATCCACAAAGTGCTAGCCAAAGAAGGTACTGTAAACCAAGTAGGTTTTCTGAAGAAGAATGACAATACCTACACAGCAACTTTTGAGGAGAGTCTGAAAATGCTCACTGAAGCACACTTTCCGGCCTCAGTAATTCTAAATGAGCCGATAGTGGCAGACAGCACCATTGGCAGGCCGAATAGGCCAACTGCCATAGAATGGAGGCTAGCTACAGAGATATCGAGGCCAAACAGAATTAGGTGGGCTATTAATAAATTTAAACCTTATAAATCCCCTGGAGTAGATGGAATATACCCCATCCTGCTTCAAAAGGGGCAGGAAATACTAATTCCACACTTGTGTCATATATTCAAGGCTTGTATAGCAATACGATATATACCCATAGTATGGCAGAAGGTGACAGTCATCTACCTTCCCAAAGTGGGAAAGGTGGGTGACAAAACGCCAAAATCATACCGCCCAATAAGTCTAATGTCGTTCCTGCTCAAAACGCTGGAAAGACTGATAGACAGATACATAAGAGACGAGGTATTACAAAGAAACCCGCTCAACGAACGCCAATATGCGTATCAGCCAGGCAAGTCAACTGACTTAGCACTGGATGATCTGAACAGGCTACTCGCAAAGTCGATAGAGGACAAAGAAATAGCTATAACAACATTCGTAGACATAGAAGGTGCTTTCAATAACGCATCAACAAATTCTATAATTAATGCCCTAGCAAGGAAAGGAGTACCGCTACTCCTGTGCCAGTGGATAAATGTCAATTTGAAAAATAGGGTTATCATATCCACAATTGGCGAGACAACTCTGACAGCTAGAGCAGATAGGGGATGCCCACAGGGAGGAGTATTATCACCCCTACTATGGGCCATTCTAATGGACGAACTGATCAAAAGGCTAACATCCAAAGGGTATTATTGCTTAGGATATGCCGACGACCTGGCGGTTATCGCTAGAGGTAGATTCGCAAGTACGGTCTCGGAGCTCACACAAATCGCTCTAAACATAATTGACAATTGGTGTAAAGAGGAGGAACTCATGGTGAACCCTCATAAAACCACTATAGTGAATTTCACGAAAAAGAGAGTACTGGAAGGATTAAAGTCACCAGTACTCAACGGGGTAGAAATTCCGTTCGCCCTAGAGGCAAAATACTTAGGAGTCATCTTTGACCATAAGTTAACATGGAATCAACACCTACAAAAAATTGTTCAAAAAAGTACAGTAGCCTTCAATCTGTGCAGACGAATGTGCGGGAAAAATTGGGGACTGCAACCAAAAATGACCACATGGCTCTATGCCAGCGTCATCAGGCCTATGATAGCATATGGGTCAGTAGTTTGGTGGCCAAAGACACAACAGGCTGGAGTGATTCGAAGGCTCAGTGCTATTCAAAGGCAAGCTTGCCTGAGTGCCACTGGTGCAATGAAAACCACTCCAACAGCCGCTTTAGAGGTCCTCTTGAACCTACCACCACTACAAATATATATTCAAGGCGAAGCCAGAGCAGTCGTGAGTAGATTGTCAAGGGGTCAAGCACCCATAAGCAACGCGCACGGTAAAGACTATAGAAAGCTATATGAAGAGTTGGAAAGCGACCCCATCATGGGAATGCCAACGGATGGCATAATTCCAAAATATAGCTTTGAAAAAACTTTTAAAATAAGTATAACGGACAGAGAGGCATGGAAGGAAGGACCTCCTATCAATGCAGACATTGCTGTCTATACGGACGGCTCCAAAACTGAGTTTGGATCAGGAGCCGGTATTTATGGGGCCAAGCCAAAGACAAGAATCTCACTGAGCTTAGGTAAATACGCGACGGTGTTTCAGGCAGAAATTATTGCAATACATCATTGCGTGAAAGAATTGATAAGGCAAGAGTTTAAAGGCAAAACCATTGCAATCTATTCAGATAGCCAGGCGGCAATCAAAGCAGTCAACTCTATGCAAGTTAACTCAAAACTAGTATGGGACTGCTTAGAAACCCTAAATGCACTGGGCAGTCAGAACAGACTGACTCTAGCATGGGTACCAGCACATACAGGGTACGAGGGCAATGAAGAGGCAGACTCACTTGCCCGAGCAGGAGCAAACAAAGCTCTGAATGGCCCAGAACCCTTCTGTGGTATTGCGAAAGCTATACAAAAGACTAGTATCAAATCATGGATGCAAACCAAATCTCAAGAATGGTGGAACAAATCGCCAGGAATGAGACAGGCAAAAGAGTTTATTAAAAAACCATCGCCAACATTCACAGAATATCTACTAAGCCAGAAACGAAGTTCAACTAGAATACTAGTGGGACTTCTCACAGGGCATTGTAGGCTCAACAAACACATGAGTACGATAGGTCTGACTGAAGAACTGCTGTGCAGGTTCTGTCAGGAAGAGGAGGAAACAGCAGTACACATACTTTGCCACTGTGAGGGCTTGTCAAGACTAAGGTTCCTTACGCTGGGTGAGGAAAAACCAGAAGCCCAGAGATACACAGGGGATCTGAAAGCTAGCCTATGGAGTCTCATAGAGAAGACGGGGCTAGTCGAAGAACTCTAATCGATTTTGAGGGCAGACACAATAGATCTGAAAAGGTCGCGGTGTGGAGGCAGATAGCCCGAAGGCCCCATTCTAAATCTAATCTAATCTAGGCCTCTTTGGTATCCCCATATTACTGCTTTCTCTGTTGTTGTTCACCATAGTTAAATATTACTAATAGTCTTTTTATTCTTATTATCTTTATCTCAATATTCTACATTATTGTTATACGTTATCTGGAGCATCTACATATTGTTATTGTTAACTAGTAGATGTAAATATGAAAATAATCACTTAAATGTAGTTCTAATGTTGATACAGTAGTAATCTGTTGGTATACATGTATTACATTGAGATCACACAATTTATATTTCCACACATGTCATGTTATGAAAATATCATTATTCCGATACCAGCAAGCTTCAAATTGCTGTTTAGGAATTATATTGGATCACCGGGAAGTATATTCTTATTTAAATTAGGCTATACATATGTTTGAACTTGTATTTCTTATTCTATAGTGAACTAAAAAATAAAATAAAATGTAATATACATTATGGTGAATAAAAAAAAAAAAAAAAAAATTTCTTGATTAATTGTATATTTCTTGTGGAAAATTTCCATCGCTTCCTATGGTTTTAGAACAATGAACAAACACATCAAGTATCAATACTATGCGAGTTACCATATTAAACGATTATCTAAATATTAACCTTATGTAATTTATGATTATCTTGACACCAACTCTTTTGATAATTAACCAAAGTCAATTATTATAGACACCAATCCTGATAAAAAAAATGATGGGATTACCAGTCACCAAGGTTCTGTGCCAGCAAATCCCGTTATGCTAACTAAAACAGATAGGACATCAAATCCAGGGATCATATCATCTCTCAACAGTGTAAAGGAAATGATGATTATTATTGAAAATAACGAAAATGGATTGAATCCCAACAAGAAGATTAAAACAGGCCCTCAAAATTCTGAGAAAAATACTAGTATTGTTGATTTAACCAATCAATCCATATGCTCAAGATCCTCGATAATAATTAGTAAGTTGAAAAATAATAGTAGTATGGTATTTATATTTTGGAAGTGAGCAGTTTATATTATACCACTGACCTATAAACTACAAATGGAAAGACAATACATGAGGAAACGCGAAGAACCTTTAGGACCATCAAGCGTGAATTTGATCCCTTTTTAAAAAACAAATTTTATTACAAAGATAATCTGAACACTACAAGTAAAATGTCAGAATTTTTGAGTTTGTTGATTTCTAATGCTTCAAAATTATTGAGTTTCATTCCTTTATTTTCTACGTGTAGAATTTCGAAACTATCATCAAAACTATGTTTTTTTTCTAATATACAGGGTGATTCAAAAGTAAGCGGCATCCTTTCAGAGGCGTATTCCTTGCATGAAAATAAGGCAAAAAGTTCCTATTGATAAGGATCCGAAAATGCTTCCTAAGGGAGCTACGGCCCTTTGAATAGGACACCTCAAAGACGGTTTTTTCTCTATAACTTTAAAATCCTTCACAACAAATTTTTAAAAATTGGTGTACGGCATAAACATTCGATGGTAAATAGGACTCCGTATTCGAAATAATTTCCAAACGAAATCACAGTAACCTGAATATCCGGAGAAGAAGGGATATTTTTACACTTACCCTCTCCCGCATGTGACGCCCCTGAATGAAATTCTGAAATTTCGAATACGGAGTCCTATTTACCATCGAATGTTTATGCCGTACACCAATTTTTAAAAATTTGTTGTGAAGGATTTTAAAGTTATAGAGAAAAAACCGTCTTTGAGGTGTCCTATTCAAAGGGCCGTAGCTCCCTTAGGAAGCATTTTCGGATCCTTATCAATAGGAACTTTTTGCCTTATTTTCAAGCAAGGAATACGCCTCTGAAAGGATGCCGCTTACTTTTGAATCACCCTGTATGGTTGGCGTATGTTGAATTTGTTTTCTTTTTCAAAAAATGTATCTTATGTTCATGAATGCGCTGATTAAACGTACGACCTCTCTGACCGATATATACCTTAGGACAAGATCCACAGTTGAGTTTGTGTACCCCTAATTTTTTCGAATTTAGAAGTTTTGTCTTTATTATTCTTGATAAACCTTCCCAACGTGTTATTTGTTCTATATGCTACTTTTTAGTCCTGTTAATGAAGCTAATTTTTCAGTTGATGATCTAAAATAGGTTAAAGTTCTTTAATTTTCAATATTATTCTTGATAGTAGGATAAACTTCTTGAATAGCTTTATTATGAAGTCTTTTAGAAAGAATACTGTCTATCAAATTAACGTTGTATCCGTTGTTGACTGCAATCTGTTTTATGATATTGAGTTCTTTATTGAAATTTACTTCCGAAAGAGGGACATTCACTAGCCTGTGTATCATACTTTATATGCTGCAATTTTATGTTGATAAGGGTGTGTAGAATTATGAGTGTGGGAAGGTTTATGGAAAATTGAAAAATCATGTTCATCATTAATTTTACTTATTGTCAAATCTAAGAAATTGATTGAATTTTCTGTTTCTATTTCTATTGTGAATTTTATGTTTGGATGAATAGTGTTCATATATTGGTGGAAAGTGTCTAATGGTCTATTGGTTCCTTTAAAGCATTCTATAACATCATCTACGTATCTATACCAATACAAACATTGTTTCATCAATCATGCATCAATGAATGTTTATGTATTATTCGCTCCAAGTTATTCATGAAAATTTCAGCAAGTAAAGGGCTCAGTGGATTTCTCATAATCAACCATATTTTGTCGTCAAATTGAAAGTAATTTTGTTTGAGACATATCGACAGAAGGTCTAAGATCTCTTGTTTGGTAATCGGATTAACATGGTTTTTATCCAATAACTGCTCAACTAAAATTATGGTTTCTTCGGAGGTATACTTGGAAAAAGGTTTTGTACATCAAATGAAATGAATTTCGTGTCGTCCGGTAGAGTAACATATTGAATTCTAGTTATCAAATCATAAGAACTCCTCAAGCTGAATTTTGATTGAAAATTACAATAGTTTTTTATCAACGTTATTAATTTTTCTGGTAGTTTAACTGAAGGATCTGTGACAAATGAAACTATACTGGGCGATTAGGATAATTTTGTGCCAGAACACAGCTAATTCACCACCATGTACATGTAGTCGTATAATTCTTGATAAAAACTTACATTCGAAATTTTGGCGTCGGAACATTGAAATTTTGTTGACGGAACATCATTCACCATTTCATTCGAGAAAAAATAACGGTCATCCTGAAGATCCTGATCAGGATAATGGAACAAAACTATTAAATTATGCTATTATCATGGGTTATAAAAAAATTGTGAAGTTTCAAATCAATTCGACTTTTTGAAGTGGGTCAAAATCACGTTAGAAAATTCCGTTACATACAAACATACATACAAATATACCTACCAAGCTAATATAAACGTGATAAAAAAGACTGAATTCAGCACCGCTCTGAATCACAAAATCTCTAATATCGATATGAACATTTTCAATTGCTTCATAATGAATTTTATGATATATCTTACAAACCAGACGAGACATCACAAATAATCTGGAGCTTAAAACTTCATCACTCTGTATGATTACTATTTCACACCACGTCACATCAATAAGATACCACCAAAAGTACAGAGGTAGAGGAGCAGAAATTCTCGAAGAAAGTTATACATCTCTCAAATTTCATTCTTGCATTCAAATACTAGAAGCTAGTACATAATATTTTCAATAGTGTCAAAAAAGCGTACATGTTTCTTTTAGATCTATTGCGAATAGTGTTTCTTATTCATTTCTCTAGACTTTCGAGATTTTGTCTCCTCGTCTCTATATATAAAAATATTCCATTTCAATATACACCTGCAGTAAGGACAAATCAGATGATTTGACCCTAAAAAAAGATAAGTGCAATATTATATTTCTTCAACGCACTTTTAATCATGTCTTCTTCAAACATTTTGCAGACAAGGTGGCATTGACTATCGATTAATTTTTATCTCTTAGGTTTCTAATTTGTAGCCCCACTACAGATATACACTGTGCCCAAGATAAGAAGGGCCAGTATGGGCAACTCGGAAACTGCGAGAGATACAGATTTGGTTAAATGGGAGAAAAGTTGCGCGAATGAAGAACCAACAACATGACTCTGATATGACAATTTGTTTTCGAGTTTTTCCCAAAAAACTGGATTTTGGGATTTTCAATTTCATTTTTTCTGGCATTGATAATGAAGTTATGACAAAACTGAAAAACATCTGCATGTCAACTTTCCGAGATGCCCATACTGGCCCTCCTCATCTTGGGCACGGTGTATTGAACTAATATTTTCACTTGTAGAGACGGGGAGAAAAAAATCACAAAAACCTAGGAAATTAATGTATCACCTCAATAAACCCATAGATATTAAATAATGTCTGTGGGTTAATCGAGGAGGTGTTACATTCATTTTACTTGATTATTAGGGATTTTCTCTTCGTTTATATCAAATAAAAATATCAGTATTATTTCAATATACTTATGTGGACAAATCAGTTGATTTGCCCCAAAAATGTCACTGCGTTTAACCAATTTTTCTATCGGGGAGCCAAAAAGAAAAATCTAATAGCTTGTCAGTGAAATTTTGTTCGGAAAAACGTTTGAAGAGAAGAAATATAGATATATTTAAGAAATATCGAATTTTTTCTCATCCTTGGACGTTTCGGAAACGAATCTGCTCCCGTTCTCAACATGTAAATGCAAAATATTCTTTCTCATCGTTTCTACAAAATGAAAATATTAGTATTATTTCAATATATGTGTATAGTAGGACAAATCAGATGATTTGCTTCAAAATGTCACTGCGCTCAACAAGTTTTTTTAACAGGGAGACAAAAGAAAAACCCAATAGCTTGACAGTGACACTTTTTTTGGAACAAAGTTTGAAGAGAAGAAATATAGATATATTGAAGAAATATCGAATTTTTACTTATCTTTGGACGTTTCTGGAACGAATCTGCCCCCGTTCTCAGCATAAAAATGCAAAACATTTTTCTTCGAAAATTCTGTTCTAGTTTGACACTTCTCAGTATCAGACTGATGATGGCATCCATATGCGTGAAGTGATGATGTTAGTATACTGAAAACTGAACATGAAAATGGTAGATTCAAGATTAATTAATGAAAACATCCTGTTATTCATTTTTATACTAACATGGGTGATGATTTTGTGTACTGAAAACTGAACATGGAAATGATAGATTCAAGATCAATTAATGAAAACATCCTGTAATTCATTTTTATACTAATATCATCACTCATCCATATGCCAACATCAGTATGACAATGAGATGTGTCAAACTAGAACAGAATTTTAGAAGAAAAATATTTTGCATTTTTATGTTGAGGTCGGGAGCAGATTCGTTCTTGAAACGTAGAAAGATAGGTAAAAATTCGATATTTTTTCTATATATCTATATTTCTTCTCTTCAAACTTTTTTTCCAAACAATGTGTCACTGACAAGCTGTTGGATTTTTCTTTTCGGTTCCATAATTAATAGTTATTTATTATACAAGGGAAAAAAGTAGGTGATCTAATATTTTTCCCGTGTATAATACACTATTTTTTTCTGTGACAGAAGAAAGGACGAATCAATATTGAGAAGATATTACATTATTTTGAAATCTGAAAATTATCGACGTGAAATTTTAAGTTTTCAACAGTAGGGGCATCATTCTTTTGAAGTAATCAAATATCTGATGTCACTTCTGTCAGTCTAATTCTGTGATTTGATTTCAAAAAATTGCGAATTTAGTGGTTGTTTAGTAATGATACGTAACCGCGAAGTCGAATGGAAGATGAAAGGACTTGCAGTTCTTTCTCGGAGACGGTATTATTGACTCATTTTTCGGAACTATAGCACAACAATAGTCATCAACAGTGTATACAGGGTGTTTCAGACTTAAATGTACATACGATACCTGTAGATAGAGGACACTTCGGTGGTTCCAAATCACCCCCCATCGATATGTCTACCGTC